GAGGCCGAGGCGGGTGGATCGTTCAAGGTCAGGAATTCTAGACCAGCCTGAGCAAGAGTGAGACCCTGTCTCTACCAAAAAATAGAAAGAAATTAATCGGACAACTAAAAATATATAGAGAGAGAAAAAATTAGCCGAGCATGGTGGCGCATGTCAATAACTCCAACTACTCAGGAGGCTGAGGCAGAAGGATTGTTTGAGCCCAGGAGTTTGAGGTTGATGTGAGCTAGGTTGACGCCATGGCACTCACTCTAGCCCAGGCAACAAAGTGAGACTCTGTCTCAAAAAAAACAAAAAAAAGGAAATACAAGTTATTAAAATCTGTGGGACACAGCCAAAGCAGTTCTGAGAGGAAAATTTATATCCATAAATGCCTACATCCAAAAGATACAAAGATCACAAATAAACAATCTAATGAATTATCTCAAAAAAGTGGAAAAGGATGAGCAACCCAACCCCAAACCTAGCAGAAGAAAAGAAATAACAAAGATCAGAGCAGAACTAAATGAATTTAATAAGAAAAAAACTATACAGAAGATTAATAAAACAAAAGTTGGCTCTTTGAAAAAATAAAAAAAAATGACACATCACATGCTAGATTATCAAGAAGCAGAAAAGAAAGGACTCTAATAAGCTCACTCAGGAATGAAAAAGGAGAAATTACAAAGGATACCCCAGAAATACAAAATACCATCTATGAATACTATAAAAATCTCTATGCACATGAACTTGAAAACTTGAAAGAAATGGACAAACTCTTAGAAACACACAGCCTCCCTAGGCTCAAGTAGGAAGAAATAGAATTCCTGAAGAGACCAATATCAAGTATAGAAATTGAAGCAACAATAAAAAATATTCCTAAAAAGAAAAGTTCCTGACCAGATGGTTTCACACCCAAATTTTACCAGATCCACAAAGAAGAACTGGTGCCAATCTTGCTGAACTTATTCCAGAACATCGAGAAGGAAGAAATCCTCCCCAACACGTTTTATGAAGCCAACATAACCCTGATACCAAAACCAGGAATGGACACAACAAAAAAAGAAAACTACAGAGCAATATCCCTTATGAATATAGATGCAATAATTCTCAAGAAAATTCTGGCAAACCTAACTCAGGTGCTTTTCAAAAAAATAATCCATCATGACCAAGTGGGCTTCATCCCAGATGCAGAGATGGTTCAACATACACAAATGTATAAATGTAATTCAACACATAAATAGAAGTAAAAACAAAGACCATATGATTCTCTCAATAAACACAGAAAATCATTTGACAAAATTCAGCAACTTCTTATCATAAGAATGCTTAACCAAATAGGCATAAATGGGACTTACCTAAAAATGATACAAGCCATATATATCACAAACCCTCAGCCAACATATTACTGAATGGGGAAAAATTGAAAGCATTCCCACTTAGAACTGGAACCAGACAAGCTTGCCCTCTATCACCGCTTCTATTCAACATAGTGCTGGAAGTTCTAGCAGAGCAATCAGACAAGAGAAGGAAATCCAGGACAACCAAATGGGGGCAGAAGAGGTCAAAGTATCACTCTTTGCTGATGATGTGATCTTCTATCTAGAAAACCCCAAAGATTCTGCCATGAGACTACTGGAATGGATACACAAATTCAGCAAAGTCCCAGGTTACAAAATCAATGTATACAAATCAGTAACATTCCTATACACCAACAACTGTCAAACTGAGACCAAATGAAAGACTCAATACCCTTCACAATAGCAACAAAGGAAATAAAATACCTAGGAATATATTTAACTAAGGAGGTGGAAGACCTCCACAGGGAGAATTACAAAACACTGAGGAAGGAAATAGCAGAAGACATAAACAGGTGGAAAACCATACCATGCTCATGGGTCAGCAGAATCAACATTGTTAAAATGTCTATACTACTGAAAGTGATCACAGATTCAATGCAATCCCTGTTAAAATACCAACATCATTTTTCACAGATCTAGAGAAAATAATTCTACCATTCATAGGGAACCAGAAAAGACCCTGTATAGCAAAAGCGATCCTAACCAAAAAGAACAAATTGGAAGGCATCAATTTATCAGACTTCAAACTACACTACAAGGCTATAAATAACTAGAACAGCATGGTACTGGCACAAGAACAGGGACATAGAACAATGGAAGAGGACTGAGAACCGAGATATAAAACCATCCTTATATAGCCATCTAATCTTCGAAAAAGCAGGCAAAAACATATACTGGGAAAAAGAATCCTTATTCAATAAATCGTGCTCAGAAAATTTGATAGCCACATGTAGAAGACTGAAGCAGAATCCGCACCTCTCGTCTCTCACAAAAATCAACTCACGGTGGAAAACAGACTTAAACCTAAGACATGAAACTTCAAGAATTCTAGAAGAAAACGTTGGAAAAACTCTTATAGACATTGGCCTAGGCAAAGAAGTTATGATGAGGACCCCAAAGGCAATCACAGCAACAATAAAAATAAATAAATGGACCTTATCAAATTAAAAAGCTTCTGCACAGCCAAGGAAACTATCACGAGAGCAAACAGAAAACCTGCAGAATGGGAGAAAATATTCACATGTTACACAACCGATAAAGGGCTGATAACTAGAATCTATATAGAACTCAGGAAAACCAGAAAGAAAAAATCAAACAACCCTATCAAAAAGTTGGCAAAGGACATGAACAGAAACTTTCCAAAAGAAGACAGAATAATGGCCAAGAAAGGTATGAAAAAATGCTCAACATCTCTAATCATCAGGGAAATGCAAATCAAAATCACAGTGAGATATACTTATCCCTAGTGAGAATGGCCTTTATCAAAAAGTCCCCAAACAATAAATGTTGGCATGGATGCAGAGAGATAGGAACACTCATACACTGCTGGTGGGACTGCAAACTAGTACAACCTCTGTAAAAAGCAATATGGAGATACCTAAAAGAGCTACAAATAGAACTACCATTTGATCCAGCAATCCCATTACTGGGCATCTATCCAAAGGAAAAAAAGACATCCTATAAAAAAGACATCTTCACTAGAATGTTTATAGCAGCACAATTCACAATTCCAAAGATGTGGAAACAACCCAAGTGCCCATCAATACATGAGTGGATTAATAAAATGTGGTATATGTACACCATGGAGTTCTACTCAGCCACAAAAGACAATGGTGATCTAGCACTTCTTGTATTATCTTGGATAGAGCTGGAACCCCTTCTACTAAATGAAGTATCCCAAGAACGGAAAAACAAGCACCACATGTACTCACCATCAAATTGGTATTAACCGATCAACACTTAAGTGCACATATAGTAATATTCATCAGGTGTTGGGCAGATGGGTGCGGGGAGGAGGGGATGGGTATATTCACACCTAATGGGTGTGGTGTGCACCGTCTGGGGGATGGGCACACTTGAAGCTCTGACTCCGGTGGAGCAAAGGCAGTATATGTACCTACACATTTGTACCCCCATAATATGCTGAAATAAAAATAATAAAAATAAATAAAAATGGGTATTAGTTAACCATGGATACCCGTGTTTTCTCCTCCTTTCCCCATTCTCATTCAGCTATAGGTAGGCATATCTGCCATGCTAACTTTCTCAGTGGTTAAGCTATATGGATTATTTTACAGCAGTCTTTTTAAAGTGTGGCTTAGTATTGAAGGTAAAGGCTGCTTTATTTAATTATGTAGGCTCCTCAGTTCCTAGCACAAAGAAGACAGTCAATAAAAAATGCTAAATGAATTAAGAAGCAAGATGCTAATTAGTTCTCACATCTGTGCCTCTGTGCCACCTGAAACACACAAGAAAACTTATAACCAAAAAGTGGGTAAAGTCATCAGCCTTTGTGGAAACAGTACAGACTATATTCATAGGCAATAATAGAGCATGCTATAATTTACTTATTGTGATGTTGTCAGATCTGTCAGTCTCTTACTTCATGCTTCTGGGTTTTGTTTCTTGCTAAAGATCTGGAGAATTAGGCTGTATAACCATTGTCGTAAAAAGGTTGGCTTGGAAACCAAGTGATCCATCAGTTTATCTATACTGGGCAATTCAGCTTTTCTGGAATGCAAATATGTTTGTCTTCACCTTGGGATCCATACTTCCTAATAAGTAATTTTTTTTTTTTTTTTTTTTAGTGATCATCTCGATCAAGCAAGAAATTATTAGTCATCTTAGACGTGGACACCACTCCATAGATGGATTATATGTATTTTACTAAAAATAGATATTCCTAGACAAGACAACAAGCAAACTACTTAATAACATTTATGGAATGGAATGCAACCAAAGCTATACTCCAACTGTATTAGTAAGGTAAGCTCAGCTATTTTAATAAAGACACGCCAAGCATGCAGAAACTTAAAGAACAAAGTTTATTTGTCTCTCTTGTGAAAATGTGGAGTATTCATCTCAGCAGATGGTTCCACCCTACATGATCTTTGAGGGACCCAGATTATTTCCATCTGGGGACTCTACTGTTCAGGGACTTGCCGTCACATGCAGAATCATGTCTTGGCCCTGCCATCCCAAGTGATAGCAAGCAGACGAAAGAAAGAGTATGGAGCAGGCATGCCCACTCCCTTAAGGATCCTAGACAAGAAATATAGAATATCTGACTCACAGAGTGATGGGTAGCTTTGGATAGTCTGTTCCTCAGTAGTAAGATAATTTTAGAAGGATGTGCTGTCATTGGTAAAGCATGTGGATCCAAGATTTCAGCTGTTCTGCACCAGCTCACAAGATGGCAGTGTTCTATTTGGAATAAGTCCAGTGGGTGATAGAATGGGAGGGATTTGAATTTGAGCCAAATGATACTCTTTTTCTGGTTGGCTGAATAACCAAATTGCTATTTCTGTTTGTGTGTGTGTGTGTGTGTGTGTGTGTGTGTGTGTGTGAGAGAGAGAGAGAGAGAGAGAGAGAGAGAGAGAGTGAGAGAGAGAGAGAGAAAGAGGGTGTGGGTTCAAAAAAGAAAAAAGAAAGCTTAGGGTAGAGAACCACGTTTTCCCAGGAAAACACACTTGACAATTGAAAGATGGAGAAGTACCCACAGGCTTCACTACTGATCTTTTGGCTTCAACTGAGCTGTGAGTAGGGTTCCTACAAAGGGTCAGGGACAAACAGAAAACCTGAGGATTGATCCTCAGTAAACTAAGAAGGGAAAGTAGAATTATTCTGACTTACCTGGGAGCCCTATGGTCCTGATGGAGAATAATTATTACTTTTTTCTACACAGGGGTGAGCAGTGAAGACAAGGTGATACAGAGCCCCTCATCTCTGGCTGTCCATGAGGGAGATAGTGCAACTCTCACCTGCAATTATGAAGTGAGTTACTTTCAAAGCCTACAGTGGTACAAGCAGGAAAAGAACGCTCCCACATTTCTGTTTACACTAACTTCAAGTGGGATCGAGAAGAAGTCAGGAAGGTTAAGTAGCATATTAGATAACAAAGAACTTCTCAGCACCCTGAACATCACAGCCACGCAGACCAGAGACTCAGCCATCTACTTCTGTGCTGTGGAGGCACAGTGCTCCCCCAGCACCTGCAGCCTGTACCCAAACGCTGCAGCTGATGCTCTGCAACTGTAAGATGGGGAGCTTACGAAACTGCGCAAAAATCAGCTGTAAGGAAAAGTGGCTGTTGGTCAAGATCCTTGTGCCCATGTTGACAATTACTTATGCAGTTTACTGAATGAGTCAAATCATTGCATTCACTACTTTCTCTGTGCTTTTCTGGGGATTTAACATAGCTAATATTTCTAGAAGGTCACTGGTAGGATGCCAACTCCATTACCACACCATTATGACCTGTGGTAGAAAGAAAGCCCTTTTATCAGATGGTACAGGCAACCGGTACGTGCACTACCCATCAGGGACTCTGCCCAACAGTTAGGATGTTTCATCTTCCCACCCAGAACAGACACATAGGTAGAGTTCTGTCTGAAACTTTTCCTGTTGGAACTATTAGCAAAGAACAAAAGGTGGGAACAAGCAGATATTGTTATTTTATTCAAACCAAGGCATTTCCTTCCCACTTGGCAGTATTCTTATTTATTCTTTTGATTTTAGGATTGCTGCCTATTCTGGGCACTTTGTAAAAGCGGTGATAGGATTTTCTCAAGATATTACCCATTAATTTGAACACTTAGTACCTTAAGCAGCCTCCCAAAAGCAAAGAGTTAGCTCAAGTAAATTATGCAAAATTAACATAAACTTAGCTTAGTTACATTATGGTATAGTCTTTCAATGAATTCTATAATCATATACATTGTATTTACAGAGAATTTGCAAATGGAAGTTACTGTTTGTTGGAAGCAAATACTATGTGTCTTGTACTTTGTAAATATTACCTTGTTGAATTCTCAAAATAACTCTGAGGCATCATTAGCATTATTTTTAGTTAACAGGTTAGGAAATGCATACTCAGAAAGATTAAGCTCCCCTCAACCCTGCCCCAGACAAGTAGCTAAAAGAATCTGAAATCAAGTCTGACTCCAGATGCTATGCTTTCTCCATTATATGTCCCACGTTAAATATTACAGGGGAAGAAATTTACCCACAGTATGACCACAATCATGTACAAAAAATGTATACAAAGCACTGGAATTACATGTGTTTAACATGTCAATAGAGTAACATATTCACAATAAAATGTGAATAAAATAACACCAAAACATTTGCATCAGTATTCATTGTCTTCGATTACTGGACATAAGACTGTTTATTGTTTTCCTGCTTTATAATGTTCTTTATTTTTCAAATTGTGTACCATGAACTCAATACTAAGCATTATTTTAGAACTAGAAAAAATACAATATGCTTCATTTTATTTTTATTTTTTTTAATTGTTTAAGATCTTTATTAACATGTGCTTGCAGTCTGTTGACTTTTTTGAAAAAAAATCAAGTTGTAAACTTTTATTACAAATTAAAAATGAAGTTCTTAAAAATCTCAACTTGACCAGATATGAAACAATTTAAAAACCTTTAAAGGCGTATTGAGAAAAACCAGGCCTTTTTAAAAAACACGTTTGTTATTACCAAAAAAGACGTCTTTAGGTAAAAACAATAAAAACCCCATGCTGCATAGATAATGCAGATAGTTCTAGTTATCTGGTCAATGAGCAAAAAGCAAGCACTTAAGGTCTTCAGCTCCAATCTTTCGTTCATTTCTTATTGTTGGAATTTCATATTCATTTATTCTTGTTGGATGACTAAACCGGACGATGGCAGAGATGGTAAGCCAGCATTTACTCAGCGGACGAATTCTCAGCTGGTGGATTGGCCACTTTTGTCTTTTTGCCATCTTGTGGTTTAGAGTTTTCTGGGCGTCTGCGTTGGTAATTGAAGTTGTGGCGGTACGGACGTTGAGGCGGCTGCTGACCTTGGGTCTCATCTCCTTGATTCTCTTTATCCTCTTCATTGCTGTCCTCTCTGGGCTGTCTTTGGCGAGGAGGGCCCCTGCGGAATCGTGATCTATAACCCCGATACATATTCTGTCTTACTGGTGGTCTACCTTGTTCTCCTGCACGGTGGCTGTCAGCACCCTCCATCACTCTCCCCTGCACGGGAGGGTTGGAACACTGCGGTCCACGCCCACAGGGTCTCCGCATGTAGTAAGGTGGGAACCTTCGCCTGCGGTAGGGCCGGCGTTGTTGGGCCTGGCCTTCAGGAGCACTCTCCGATCCCTCATTCTTTTCCCCACTCTCACCATTCTGATAATCCTACTGGCAATTGCGTGGAGGACCCCTGCGACGTGGATGGCGTCTATTATGGTTACAGTCTGCTGCATATTTACTGCCTTGAACTGGATTCCACCAGGGCCTGTGACATTTACTGCCTCCGCACCCTTCTCTCCTTCAACAACACCAAACTCCACAGTCTCCCCATCTCCACCGCGAAGGCACTTCCTGGGGTTATTCTTCTTTATGGCAGTCTGGCGTACAAATACATCTTCCTTGGTGTCATTCCTGTTGATGAAACCATATCTGTTTCTTACACTGAACCATTTTACTGTCCCCAAAACCTTCGTTGTGATGATCTTCTTGTCCCCCGGGGGCAGGCGCCGCCGATGTGAGGCCGCCCGGGCCACCGCTCCCTGGCCACCGCTCCCTGCGCCGCTGCCCGTGGTGCCGGGCTTGGAGTCGGCAGCGCTGAGGGCCTGCGGCGGGGAGGCGGCGGCAGGGGGCAGCTGGGTCTCGGCCTCGCTGCTCATGGTTACGGTGATGGTGACTTGGGCCGGCTGCGGCAGCTGCGGCTCCTCCCGGTGTGTGGTGGTAACTAGGCCGGTGGCGGCGGTGGGGCTTCACAGGGCTCCAAAATGCTTCATTTTAAAGTACCAAAATCCAAGTAGGCTGAAATGGTGTTACATGATTATTATATGACACTCACAGTTTAGCTCAATTTCAATGAGAATAGACATAACGTGCATGGCGCAATGATACAGCATTAAAACAAGGTTTTTGATTGGTAGCTCTTCGAAGCACTGTAGACTAATGCTCCCTTAAATTGGAAATGTTTTCAAGTTATAAAGAGACCTACTTGTCCTAATAATTTATTTTAACAACTGTCCTATAAGTAGAGAGCTTTACTATCCCGTCTCTGTGTAGGAAAGTACAGGCAGTAAAGGCCACCTGGGCTCCTGTGTTTGTTAGAAAACGCACTGCAAATCCAGCACAGCTCAGGTTTCAGTGCCCAGGAAATGTGGATATAGTTTAAGAAAAGGGCAAGTAATAGTTCAAAGAGTTTAAGAAAAGGGCAGGTAATAGTTCAAAGAGTTTAAGAAAGGGCAGGTAATAGTTCAAAGAGAAGGAGAGAAATGGCATACAAATTAATAGAACGTCCTGCCATTTTCAGCCTGCAAAGACCTCTGTCCATTTTCTTTTCTTCTCTGCTTTTCGTCTACACCAAAACACAGAAATGAGGTAGTGGATATGGGAGGAGAATCTGACTTTCATTTATTTAATGCTACAAAATGGAAGCGGGAAATCCTCTGTAAGACACCCGACTGCTTCTGGCCCTGGGATATTTGGAGTTCACAATTTAGAAGCTAGAGATCCAGCTGTCCTGAGGGGGAGGTACAGCTGGAAGGGGAAATTTCTTTTTCGCTGTTCCCTGTTTTCAACTTTAAGAAGAACCAAACAATTTGCATCTTAAAAGATTAACCTGTTGCCAAAACAACATTCATTGTAAGATTAAATATTCATTTGTTGTAAAAGAAAAAAAAAAGTACCTATAAACTCAACCTACAGAAATCACCACTGTGTAGCATTTTACTTTCCATTTCACCTGTGCCAATGAATATGAAAAAATAAATCTTGGGGACTTCAACGAGTGTTAAAACATCTACGTCGTTCAGTTGAGCTCCTCCCACATTAGACTTGTGAGTCATGATAAGAAGCTTCTAAAACTCATCTTGGTGACTTGATTATAAGATGCCATCAGTTTGAAGCAGCCACTAACTGATGTGAGGTCCTAAGCCAGGACTCCAGAAGAAATGAACAGCAAGTTTATCTTCACTTCACTTCTAGCTCTAGCCCTTCCAGGTAACAGTCCTGTCCTGCACCTGGAGCTGCCCCCCTGGCGGAGGCAGCTGCTTTGACACTGTGGCTGACATGTATTTTATGTTGCAGGGCCTGGGGGAGCAGACTGGATCACATCTCAGGAGACAGAAGTATCTAGAACAGAAGGGGAAACTGTGGATCTTGTTTGTAATTATGGTACACCTGGGAGCTATGCTTATCTCTACTGGTTTCGACAGTATCCAAACCAGGCACCGGAATACGTTCTCCACAGAGGGTGGGGATACTCTGGAAAAGGAGATGCCAATTTTGCCAGAGAATAAAGGTTTTATTCTAAGAGTACAGCAAATATGATAAATTTGTACATCAGAAACCTTGTTCCTGCAGACACTGCCCTGTACTACTGTGCTCTGAGAGGCACAAAGAGAACACCTCATAGGGGAGCTGTACAAAAACAGCAATGCACAGGAAGAAGAACGTGGCACACACATAACCACACTGAAGCTTTTTTTTTGCAAGAGACATCATGGCAGTTGGGAGACACTGGATCAGGAGAATTCTGTCTAATAATAGCTATGTAATTGTAGGCAAATAGCTTAAGATTTTAGAATTTCAGTTTCCTGAAATTAGATACAGCACCTCTGCTTTGTAAGCTGTTACGAGACATTGGTTTAACACTTGGGTTAAGTGCCTGGCATCATGTCCTAGATGCTCAGCAAATGGTATCTATTGTTTCTCTCTCTCTCAACTATTTTGGCCTCAAAGAGCCTTTCTATCAGTATCTGAGAATCTCGTATATACCCTACTAGAGAAAAAAAAATTAAAATCCTAAAACATAAGTCCAGGACCTAGAGAAGTCTTCCAGCCCCGGAGATCCAGCTTTGAAGTGCATGCTCAGCAAGTCCAGCAATTAGAGGACAAAGGGGCCCTGAGGCTTCTGAGCTCATGGCCCTGGGCAGGTGGGAATTTCTCATGGTGGGAAGAAGAACAGGGGAGAGTTCCTCACAAGACTAAAGGGAAGAGAAAGATGTTCAGTGTGAGGTGGGTGGTGGGTAAGGAGAAAAATTGC